TATTTTCCGGTTTCAGCTATCTTTGAAAGAATCGCTTTAGTAGTAAGGACAGAATCTATCTTCCGGTTTTAGCTATCTTGGAAGGCATCAGTTTAGTATTAAGTACAGAATATGTTTTCTTTGACAGATGGTGTCAGCTCTAACTCTCCTTATTCTTTTGCTAGAATCGTAAATGTTTAGATACTTCATCACAACCAAAAGCGGTGATTTCACCAAACCTTTCATTTACTAGAAGATCTCTATGTTTTCAATATCCATGTTTTAAGTTTTTAGACACATTTTGATTGTTAATTTGATTAATATTAAGTTGGCATGTGACAAAACTGTCTATTAATAACAATTAATATTTACTAAAAAGTATGCTTATTAATATTCAAGAGTAGAATACACAAAAGCAGACGTTTTACTTTTTGTTGTCCCAGAAATAACCGTCGGTTTTTATGGATTTTACTCTTAATATAGTATCACAATGTGCCTTAAAAATTATGCTTAGTAACTTTAATAAATAAAATAATAGTACCCCAAGAATTAAATAGGAAATATATTCTGGCTAAATATTTTTTCTAATAAGATTAACAATGGAGCTCAAATTATAATATATTTTAGAAGTACAAGTTTTTCATTATATGTAGCCAACTAATCATTTTCAATGACAAAATATCGCTGGAATTTGGGTATCACAGTAGCCACTGTTGTGGTTTGCTTGATTCAACTTGCCTGAAAGAGACACATTCGATAAAAAAAACAAAATAAATTCTGTGACGAATATATCTCCTCTCCAAATTTCATTTATATAGTCTGGGTATGAGTTTACATGGCATACCTCCGAGTACTCAACATGTAGCAGTATATTTGACATCGTAGAACAGTAAATCCACATACAAGATGTACAATAAGATTTGTACGTCCTTTCATATCATGCCTTACTTTACCAGAACTGAAACGTCAGTGAAACAATTGTATTCATCGATCTTGTATTAACCGCTTATTTCTCCTCTGATTTTTCCAGACACTAATCCATCGATTAATAGTAGAGTCATGAAACGTAAGCACATACGTGAAGAGTGGAGACGTCCTTTGGCTTTGCTGTCAATTATAGTAATCTCAACAAAAGCCAAAACGACATTTGCAATGATGTGTGGTCAACTGCAGGGTAAAAGCAGGTCTTAAAAAACTTAACCCAAATTCATATCGTACATTCATGACTGTTCGGCCACTAATTATCAGTCCAATTACTGTCTTCAAGTTGGTATTGAATTTGTGTGAAATGAGATAACGATTTCTAATTGTCATATTGTGCAGCTAGCGTTACCTTGCGGTATAGTTAGCATTGCATCACCTTGTCTAAGTTATTTAGTATACATACTAGAACTCGTCTGTGAGAACGCCTACAGTGTTGCCAATTAGGGGGCCTGGATAAACCAAAATGAAGTGACTCTTCTCTCTATGTATGTACAGATTATAACATCTGAATCGCTTTGACTGCATTTTCCTCTGTTTAAAAACCTCAGTCACCACCCGCAGTTAACAATGACACGTAATTAGACGTAAACAGTAACCAAAATTAATGCAATTAACACATAACAAAAATAATCAAATCTCAAAACAAAATGAGGGTACTATCTTTCCAGAGCTGATTACACGTTTAAATAGTACTAAAACAGCCATGTGTTATCACAACAGGCACGTGAGACGTACTCATGATAACAGCACATTAGTTTTTGGAATTGCTTTCAAGTGTAATTTTCCAGATCGTATTAAATGCTTCGCAAGGAAGATATAAGACTGTGGTTGACATTAGCAGAAGTAGCGTTTAATAACTAGAGTAAGATAAAGTGAAAGAGAAGACATGTGAGCGTAAAGACTAGGCTCATGGTGTATAATGGTGTAGTAATTACTACCAATGGTGCTGTATGAGGAAAAAAGAGTTGAACATGTACAAAACAGCAGGGACAGAGATTGAATGGTTTCGATGGTAGATGCCCAAGACAGATTTTAGGAATAAACTGGAAATAGAGGATGACAAAGAAAGATTTATGAAGAATGATGTACAAAAGAATCATCAGAGGAGCGGTGTTGGATCTAGGAAGAATATGAATGGTTTCCTTGCGTTCCTCTCCTCCTTGCCACCTGAGAGCACTCTAGCTTTTCATCTTCTTTTTTTACCTTCCACTCGATATATTTCCAAGGAATTTTCTTCCGTATCCACCTTTCTTATCACCTTTCTTCCTTCATCTTTCTAGATTTCAGAGAAATAAGTACAGGATATGGAAACATATAGAATATTAGTCAAAAAGGTGGTCGCGTATAGCTGGCTCATTGACTGGCTGATTAAATATTTGCCTTTTTGAATTTTTCAGTGCCGTTTATACGTTCAATATTAATTATTAATGTAAAAATATAACAAATGAATAATGATTTATATTGTGGGGTTTCTTTGCATAAAAAAATAAAAGTTATTCTACATTTGAAAGTATAATTTAAGCTTTAAAAAATCAATTATTTTAAACATACGGTGACCCGCATATTTGCGAAGGAATCCGGAATATGTTGTAGTATTATTCAACCAGTGTTTAGAGCAGTTTTTCTGTTAGGCATACGAACCACTAGTTAAACTATCACCCATTTTATTTATTTGCTCTATTGTAGTTTTATAGATGTCTTATTTTGTCAATTACTATTTTGTGAATATAACAAATATTTATTTTAAAAAACTTTCTTTAAACGTTTAAGTTTATATGTTGGCTTTGCGTGTTATCAAATTTAATTTCCATAGAACAGTGTAACTTAGCAAAACTTGTTTCAAGTATTAAAACAACTGTTAATCATATATCTCATTGTCGTGTGTTATTCTATAGTTAAATATTTTATTTGTTTCATAATTAGTGCCTAATTTTGAACTGATAGACTAGAGGGAAAACAACTAGTCAACAGAACCCATCACCAACATATAGGTTACTCTTATGTGTTCAACTAATGGAATTTGACTTTCACTGTTGTAGCACATCCACAGCCACAATGTATGGAGCGCGTTTTTGTAGCAACTGGCAACAAACCAGGAGCCCCTCATAGTCTGAGTACGCTAACTACTAAGCCACGTCTGGCTTCTATCTTTATTGTCGTCTGCTTTAAAAAGTTGTTGTTGTTTTCAGTTCAGTCACATTTCAGATACAAAGTAGATCTTATTGAGAAGAGAGTTCAATTCTTATTTTATAAAGTTGAACACATCTACAATATGGATGCAAGTACTTCTGGTTTTGTTGACTTAAAATAATCTACACAAACTCTCATCATTTGCTACATGAACAGATGTATTACGTTTATTATGTTTTCAAATTTCAAAGGAACTGACTTTAAGAACATTAAAAAGATCCCTATATTGTTTGCGTAAGAGAAGTAAAGCAACCTAAATGTAATGTTGAAAAAAAATATTTGACTAAAACAGTGTAATATCTAGTTTTGTTACAGCCACATTAGCAAAAAACAGTCATTGACAGCACGTAACGACATATTCTGATTACTTTCGTTGTGATATAGCAGTTACCTATACCAAATTACAATACATGCAGCGATGTGGTGCTTCACAAATTTTTAATAAAGAAATCGATATCATAGTCACATACAAGTAATGTTATCTATGTGATGGACGTTTATTATATCTAGTAAATTTGAAAGAACCATGTACGAAGTTTTATATTTAATCCAAGTCTTTATCATATATCATATATGAAGTTTTATCTTTATCAAAATCTCGTGAAATGGTCATGATTGGATTTTATATTGGACAAAATGCCTTGTAAAGTGGCATGCGAAATATTTCCTTCGTTAGGAGTGCTGTTACATGGATAATTTCTTACAACCCTTTGAAATACTCAGATAGCAGGAAATAGAGAGGATTGAGTATGTTATATTAAAACGATTTCGGATACACAATTCAGCATGGCACGTGGCAACCTCTGCTGATACGATATCGTGGTTGAACAGAATGTATCATTTGACATTCTTTGGAGTTTGTAGATAGTATGATGCCACCGAAAAATGATCCCTTCTGGAAAGAGTATGTAACAGCTCTTTCAGCCGTAAAATATTCACACACTCAAATAATAAAAATCTCTTCAGATTAGAGATTTAAATTTCCAAGGCGATAATATCCCTTGTACATAATGGCAATCGAAATCAAAGGAATATTGAATAACTTGTGGCAACAGGAACATCCAAAAAGAGACTTACAAAAAGTCATGTCCTAGTCGTGGTAAGCAAATGCAGACGTTTGGCAACAAGTGGGAATCTCCGAACACAAAGGTCACTTGCAAAAGCTGTCCGCGTATATCAGACAACAGCATGCAACATAAGCAAGAAGAATCCTCATCTGGTAAAACAACACGTGTACACAAGTTACTTCCACAACAAGCCTGTACAACTGTCGCATACCTCAATCATCTGGAGAATGAAACAGGCATTCATGTTTTTTCATACGAAGACAAAACCGTCAACTCGCCTTTGGATTAATGTGCGATCTTGCTGTTGAAACAGGAATTTGAAACAGTCGTGTTCGTACTTTAGATGGCTTATGGAAAGTTGCAGGGAAGAGATGTGTGCTTTAGATATTAAGCTTTAGGAAGAAGCTTATGAAATTATAGGATGAAATTTAAGTTTTACCAAGTTGCTTTTGATATTTTTGCATCAATTTTACCACCTTTAAGATAGCATGATAAACTAAAAGGGCGTTCTCGTTTTATCCCAATAAATATGAATAACATGTTAAAGTTTTTTTTACATACTTTATAGGAGCTCTTCTAATTCAGACCCTGTTTATTACAAGGGTTCTCTCTAATATTACTTGACAGCCTTCTTTAAGAAGTTAATTAATTTAACAGTTATTTGTCATCTGTTAGCTACACAAATAGCGAAAATGTTAGTGCAATTACTTTCCCAACCGTTATGGCCTAAGTTGTATTCATAATATATAGTGATGTATTAATTTCGATACAAAAGCTTACCCCGTAAGATCCCAAGTTATCCACGACACACGGCAGTTGCGCATCACGACCAACAGATACAGTGACGTTTGGAACTGCTTTAGAAAACTCTGGCTCTGATTCTTCATCTGCAAAAAGTGAAAGAAAGTTTAGGTTCTAGTTATTCATATGAATTAAAAGGTTCTAAAAGTGTAAACACTGAAACGATAGATAGATGGCTAGATAGATAGACATGCCTAAAAAATAATAAAACGGTATGGTACCGACATATTGAGCATACAAGTATAGCATTTTTAAGCATTTAAAACAACAAGTGTTATTGACAGCGTTCTCTCATAAGAACCAATTACAACAAATATTTATGGGTTTCTTAAACTAAGCATCAGAAAGTGAAGAACAAAAGATGATTTTTTTCTGAATGACTGCATTATCATTAAAGTCATTATCGTGTACACATCATCATATTCCATCATGTGTGAAATAAGAATAAGGCAGATATGGTGTGGTTGACATTATATATTACATATTCTTCTTTTTTTCACTCATAAGTTCTTAGAATTACAAAGATGGTTTTCTCCCTTGTTGCTATGGTTACACGATCTGATCCGAGAACAAGAGAACTAGCTTGGTGGTTCGGCAGTTCTTCTGAATGATTGTGAAGTTAATTCAAATAAATAATAATAATAAATATTTGGTGTGTTATTAATATTTACCTTTGTTCTAGTGGCTTAAATAAAATTGATAATAATTACAATACGCTTACTTAATCCAGCTCACACCATAACATTTTTTAGTTCAAGAAAACTGATGATATAATTAGCGTTTCGATTACCACTGCGACTGTTTTATCCCAGGCGGTCTGATGAGCCTTGGTATTGAACGAAAGGCTTCGGCGATACTGGCTATGGCAGATATTGAGTGGTTGACAAATTGTTACTTATCCTTTGTTTTCACTCATAAATTTTCAGAAGTAAAACGTGCTTCAGTAGTTCATGATTCTAATCTTGAAATTATATGTTAAATATTTGTCAAATCACTAATGTCATTAGTTTAAATAACTCTAGAATGAACGACTGTTAATTGTTATTTCTGAATAATCTTTATGGAACTTATATTTTGCCCTTATCATTCATAACTGTTTGAAGAGATGAAAGTTCTGGGCATCTGATAACTGAAGTCTTTTTATCACTATTAAAAATAAAAATATTTTCCCCCCACAGTAAAATAAACCTATAAATATATATATCACATAAATGTGAGTTGTAAGATATATCAATGAATTCGTCTTGTATTCCACTAGTAATATCACATGTTATGCTAGTTACCTGCGTTTTCGGGCACTGATTTTTCCAGAAGTAATCCCCCCCAGTGGCACAACGATATTTCTGAGAACTTACAACGTTAGAAACCGGGTTTCGATACCTGTAGTGGGCAGAGCACAGATATTCCATTGTGCAGCTTTGTGCTTAATATAAACAAACAAATCCAGAAGTAATCGGTATAGTTGAACCTAACATAATGAGAAAAGAGTAATGCGTCCTACAACTTAGGTAATGTAATTTTCTTCACTCAAAAGTCTTAAAGTTCTAACTTACCAGCACAAAATAGTTAATCAGGAAAAATAAAACATCTGAAAAAATGGCATTCAACTTTCTATAGAACTTCTAAGCAAAGTTTTTATTATACAGCACCACATGTCTGAATGCATAGCTAATTTGAATGAAAATAATTCAAATGAAACCCGTAAACTCGGTAGGTGAAAATACGCCCCCTAGCAAAATAGGTCTGGTTTTTGCATGACTTGTATTTTTAAAAACATTTAAGTTTTTAAATTACCATAACATATTGAAACTTCAAAAGGCCTAATTTTCAAAGTTCTATTTTTGTCATACCATATTACAATATCCACTAATTACTACTATATTTCCTATATTCTCCTGAAGTGAACTCTTCGAAAGCGCTCGAGTTTTGGGTCTCGTTTGAAAACCAGTAAAACTTTTGGATATGATCCTGTGCGCTAACTTCTTAATCAGAATTTAGTAGTTACGTAGATATTATAGAAACACAATGAATAAACAAATAAAACTTCACTTCTGTGCAAATCGATATCAACATGGTCTCAAAGATGGCCACAAAATTTCATTTCATTGTTTGAGACCATGTTGATATCAATGACCACAAAACTCTTTATTTCATTGTTTTATTAACCTTTGATGAGAATATAGGACAGTTTAGACTTTAATTAATAAAATAAATACATTATTTCAGTTTTAAGTGTATGACTGCCAGCTATAAAACTTTTATTCTAACAGGCTTGTTTGTAGATTCCTCATCTGGTTCCTATTTTCCCTTATTCATCTCTCCCAGAAAGTTTTTTAAGTGACTGACTGGAAGAAAGGCAATGTTAAATAACGAATGTATTTATAGACTTAATATTTGCCGATATTGCATTGATCATCATAGTAGCTTAGTTTATATAAATACAAGCTAATAGACTGGTGTTGTTGTTGTTTTTTTATCGTGTCATAAATGTTAGCATATTTTATTTGATTTCTATATAGGTTAATGTCATATTGAGGACATTTATGTGGGGAACCTAGGCAACATGTGTACGTGTCATTAATAATTCCTGTCTGACAGTAAATCAGAAGTATAATTGAACTGAACTGCTAAGACTAAATTAACCTATCACGTATCTTATTTGTTTCAGTATAAAATATATGATATTCAGTTCAAATCAGTCGCAGTTGTGCAAGTACTTGACATAATAAGAAAAACTTCGAGCACGAGCTACGATAAACATAAACGTTACAAAAAGGCTAAACTAACCTTTGTGTTGTTTTTCTGTAATTTCGCCTGGTGGATTTTCAATACTTAAACTGTAGTTTCCAAATTATCAGGCCAGTTTAGGTCAAATTTCTAATTTTTTTTCGAGATTCTAAAGCAAATATTTTGAGACATAATTTGAATTACCTTTTAAAGGTTCAAAAGCATATTTTGAGTTATTGTGGAATCGACTAAAAAAGAGCAAATAAAACAACAGGGTAAATTTTACATAACATACCAAACTAATTTATCTCTTAATCAGCTTAGACTAACAGGGGTTATCTGTAGGAGTTATGAAGGCTGTCTTGAGGCGTTACTGAATTACGTTCACTATAGATTCAAATATAATGCATTAGACTTAAAAAAAATAGAAAACCCTGAAAGATGACCGGGTATATGCTTAAATAATATTTGAGAGTATTCGCTACAAAAAAAGCTCAGGATTCAGTCTTTTGATATTAAGGGGTTTTGCGAGGAGAAATATGCATGTAATAGAAAATGCTTTCGGTTAAACATGCATGCTCTCTTTTGGATTTATGATATCAGGTGTATACAGCTGAGAAATATATGAAGCTTTATCTAAAATTTAAAGAAGTCAGTTCTGGATGCTTTTGCTCAGCCACTTTGTCGTCTCTTAGGGGCCGGCATGGCCAGGTGGTTAAGGCACTCGACTCGCAATCTGAGGGTCGCGGGTTCGAATCCCCGTCACACCAAACATGCTCGCCCTTTCAGCCGTAGGAGCGTTATAATGTGATGGTCAATCCCATTATTCGTT